CCCCCTCCCCGCGCTCCACAGGGCGTATCAGGTAGCGGCAAGTCCACATTGGGTCAACAACTCGCCTGCGCTCTGCAATGCGCCTTTCTGGATGCAGACGATCTACACTCTCCTCGCAACGTGGCCAAAATGTCACGTGGAGAGGCGCTGCAGGATGGCGATAGATGGGGCTGGCTGCAAAGCGTCAGAGAGGAGGGTGTGCGCGTAGCGAGGGGCTTGCAGGGTGCGCATGCTCCTCAGAAAAGCGTGGCAGAGGCAGAGGGAGTGAAGAGGGAGATAATGGAAATGGAGGTGATGAAAAGGAGGGAATTGGCGGAAGTTAGAGAGACGGCGGGGTTGAGGCAAGAGCAACATCCTCATCCTCATCCTCATCCTCATCCGCAAGCCGAACACCACGACGCTCCACCTTCATCTTCACCGCACCATGCGCTCCATACTCCCGCAGCAAGCAAAACCTCGGCACACGGCAGTCTCACACCTCGCACGTCGTCCAACGAACGGCGGGCAAATTGCGCAGTGATAGCCTGTTCAGCGCTCAAGCGCATCTACAGGGACATTCTGCGCGGCGCATCCAACAAAAGCGCAAACGTTCGAACCTATCACCTCTACCTTCGCGTCTCCCCCTCGGAGCTTCACAGACGCCTCACTCATCGCAGCGGACATTTCATGAAGGATGTTTTGCTGGATAGTCAGCTCGATACGCTTCAAGAACCAACGCGTCAGGATGAAGAGGATTGTTTCGTGTTGGATGCAGATGAGCCCACGACGATTGAGGCTTCGCAGTTGCTGCACAAAGTGCACCGCGGTTTGAGCGCAAACGTGGAGCTGATGCTGGATCAAGAGATCCTTGCGCAGCTTGGACGCGCATCAAGTACCTCTCCTCCCACCCCCACCGCCACCGCCACCGCTTCGGGCACAATCAGCACCAACAGCAACCACTGCAAATCCAGCACAACTCAGCCCAAAGCTCAAGGCAAAATTTTACACGCTCAAAATCTCTTTCTTCCCCTCTCCATCTCTTCTTGCCCCACAAACAGCACATCGACGAACAGATTGACAGATACGTCAGCTCTAGAAAGTCTTTCTCGTGCGCTCGAAGAGCTTCAGACTGACCTGAATGCCCGCTTGACGGAGGTGAAAGAGATGCTTGAAGGGGCAGGTGGAGAAAAGTCAACCCATTTGGCTTTGTCTGGAAAAGAAGCAGAAGAAGAAGAGGAGGAGGAGGAGGATGAAGAAGGGGACATGAAAGAGTAAAGTAAACAATGTCCTTGCGCCGTTGCCCCCCTTTCTTTCCCTGATCCATCCGGACAATAGAAGCAGGCTCAGGCTTTCCCCCCTTCCCGTCCATCTTTCGCCGGTCGTACGCAGACCATTGGATTGGGAATATGCT